ATGCGATGCGATGCGATGCGATGCGGCGCCTTACCAATCGTGCTAGAGGCAGTCCGTATCCGAAACCGGCCATGGGCGCCTTGAAGTCGCTAGCTTGAAAGTCGGGGTCTGAGAGAGGGGGGGTGGGGGCACGTATGTGCACGAGAGCCGTCTGGGTCGTCAGATAGTCCGTCACGCCTTTGGCATTTCCGAACGTCATCTGCCTGCCAGCAGCAGCAGGCAGCAGCAGCAGCAAAGCGCAAAAACTCACCCAGATCCTCAGACTGGGCCGTGGTGTACATATAAGTCCAAACGAGGGACATTTCTGATCTGGGAATGCCTCCACCTTCATCGCTAATCTTGATGGTAATGTCCTCCTTTCCCTCCACCACGATGACTTTGATGGGTGGGAAATTGTCCTCATTCTCCACCCCGTACCGCTCCACCACCGCTCGAAGGGAATTCTTGAGCAGCTCAAACATCATGTGCTTGAAAGTGTGCAAGAGCGACAGTTGCGTGTCAGAGGAGATCTAGTACGATCACTTTGTAGCGGCATGATCGGACTCACATTCAAGTGACTTGGGACGTACCTGCGAAGCGACACTCGACTGTTAGCTGCGCCCCACCCCCCAGAGCCCCTCCACATCGACGACGTGCACTCACATGAACGTCAAATCCTTTGGACAGATGAGCTGCACAGGTGGTCCCTTGAACAGCCCATAGTGTTCCTCGCAGACGAATCTCGCATTCTCGATTGCCTCGTGCGCTATAGCTCCAACATTGGTGTTTGTGCAAATGATGCCCACATACTTTTCCGGCTCGCCTCCATTGTGTCCAACACCGGCGCCTGCGCTCGGGGCAGAAATGCGAGATTGTTGAATGGGGTCTCCATCAAGCGTGGTCGCTTGGTCAGGTGATGTGCGTGCCAGAGCAATGTGTTGTCCGATGAGGATTCGGATGCCGATGCGCGACATGTAGAAGCGGTCCAAGAATCGCTGCACGTCCGCTTGAATGTTCTGACCCCGTCGTGCGCGTTTGTACTCCAAAACTCCTTGCGCTGCGAGCGGGGCAAGCAAAAACAAGCTGTGAACGTCTTGTTTTTGAAAGGGCCCCCCCGCCGCGATCATCATGACTCACCGACAGTGGTCACTACAGCATCGTGGCGCTTTTTGATCTTGTCGAGGCACTGTGTAAAGCTTTCATTCCAATCGATCACTTCTGGCGGCCACTGCTTGATATTCGCGTGATCCGCATAGTAACTGCGAAATGCGAAATGCGGAATGCGCCCCAGACGCAGCGCCAAATGCAGTGGTGAGCCGCTGGACGCTGGGGTCACTTTGTGGCAATACGATGGATGCATGGGTGTGATATGCTCACCGATGATGAATGGGGATCCTTTTCTTGCCCGCATCCGTGGTTGCGGTCGCATAACCGCTGGCAGACGAGCTCATTGCGATTCCAGCTTCGTGCAGCTCCCTGGCCCTCTCCCTCATCCTCTCCTCGCTCGCCTCGACATTATCCTTGTTCTCGGCCAACCAAGCTGATGAGCCAGCGATGCGTTGCAGCCTCTCTGATTCGCTCGCTCTGCCTTCCTCGATGTCGTTGCCCTCCTCTGACAAGGCGGGATTGGGTGTTGAGCCTGGCAAGCCTGCTGCGTTGTGCGAGACGGAGGATGCGAGCTGATCGCGGATGGATGGAGGTAGCTGGGGTCTTGGAAATTGGATCAATTCCTTTTCGAGGTGTGGCATGATGAGAGAAAGACCGGGTGAGCAGGACAGGAGCATTGGGAGCGAGTAGGACGAGACGAGGGCAGTCTGACTCCGCTGCTGCTCACTTCGAAAGACTGAGCGTACCAATCGCGGACGCGACTGATGGAGGGCATCTGATTCAAGCCTTTTGGCAGCTCGTCCAGCTCCTTGACTCGATGCGCAAGTCGGATGGGCAGCTCCTCTATTGCGAGTGGAAGTGAAAGCGGCATGGATGGTCAGCACAGCGAGGTCCAGGGGAGATGATTGAAGGACTGACCAGCTAGGAAGCTGCCTGCCTGCATGACGGTGCCCGGATTGAGATTCCTTCCGAAAGCGACCATCTGTGCC